TTCCTCAAAAGACTTCACATAGAACTCCCCTATGACCCAGCAATCCCACTTTTGGGCATTTACCCAAATGCTTACAAACAAGACCACACTAAAGCTACCTGCTGAACTTCTGATTGCGGTGAATCCATAGCTTTCCCTTCACCCCACCCATTCCTTTTGAGTACCTACTTACTGGTGTTTTACTTTGCTGAACTTTGATTTTGGCTTTCTAAGAAACTACAGCATTTGAGGTCTCACTTGATTCTATCAAGTTTCAGTTAATACATTTATATACACTTGCATACTACCTATTTACTCGTGAGTTTGTAAGCTATAGAAGACCCAGAAATAAACCTCCAGACATACAGCTATCAATAAAGGAGGCAAAAACATAGGTTGGAAGAAAGACAGTCCCTTCAATAAGCTGGCAAAACTGGATATCCACATGCAGAGAATGGAAACTAGATCCTTGATAAACAGGACTTGATAATAAAGACTTCATAAATGGGAGTGCATCAAACAAAAAAGTTTCTGTATAGTTAAGGACATAGCCAACAAGCTAAAAAGACAGACAATAGAATTGTTGAAGATCCATTGTAACAATGAGATGTACAAGTCGTTATGTGGAAAAACGAACTTTACAACTTTGGTGTGGGGGGAGGTGGGGAGGTGAGGGGGGGGAGATGGGAAGGGATGGGAAGGGGAAACAAAGAAGGAGGCTACAATGCTTGATAAGAAATGTACTCATTATCTTGCCCATGTAATTGTAACCCCTCTGTACAGAATTTTCACAATAAAAACAATTAAAAAAAAAAGAATTGTTGAAGAACTTTGCCAGCTACACATCAGACAACAGCCTACTATGTAGGATATGCAGAAAACTTAAAAAAATTAAACCCTCAAAATCTCAACAACCCAATTAATAAATAGGCTAATGAGCTAGAGATCTTCTCAAAAGAAGAAAAAATGTAATTGTTTTTTGAATTTCATTTTTCAATGAAATTTAATTGCATATACCAATAATAATACATTTTAATATGTTGATGTTGATACATTTCTAATTTAAGTAGTTGTTGGCTTGTTAGGACTTGATCTGCAAACAATCATTTCTCTCAATGTTTATGTATATTATTTTCTTTCCTTATGAGACAAACTAGAATCTCCAACACAATGTTAAATAGAAGTAACAATTAGAGGCAACACTGTTATCCTGATTTGAGGAAAGAACATTTGCAGCTTTATTGTTGAGTATTCTGAGGGACTAAGCTTTTCATTTATTTACTTGTATAGAAGTCCATCATTAGATAAAACAAATTCTTTCCTTAAATACTACTTTGTCAAGAATTATAATTTTTTTACATTCATGTATGGGATTTATTTTTCCAAGTGATTTTCCTATACATACTTTATTTCTTCTTTATTCTGTTAGTATGGTGAGTTACATTAACTGACTTTTCAATGTTAAACCAAAATATGTTCTTGCAATATATCATCTCACTTTGTTATAAGAAATTACTGTACATTTTTCACAAGTTACTAGATTACATATGCTAATACTGTAAGAATGTTTACATCAATTATGATGGGTGCTGGGTTATAATTTTCTTTTTGTATAAAGTTTAAGTATGGGTTACACTACTTTACACAATAAATTGGGTAATTTTCCTTCCTCAATTTTATCAAAGAGTTTTTATAAGACTAGTAATTTACTTTGTATGTTCCACTGGTTATGTACTTATTTAATTTTTGGCTCATCATTTAAAATATTTATTCTATATTTCTTCTCATTGAGTAATTCTTGTTGATCTCAATTCAAGTACATTCATATTTTTTTGTCTTGTGATTTGTCTTGTGTCTTCATTTAACACCACCTAGTAAATTTTTCATTTCTGCTGTTTACCGTTTAGTCCCAAAAAATTCATGTGCTTCTTCCTGTTTACATTTCCCTAATGAAATTCTTTCCTATTTTTGGTCACGATGACAGTGTGTGTGTGTGTGTGTGTGTGTGTGTGTGTGTGTGTGTGTGTGTGAAAACATAACTTGCTTCTAAGCAGCTTATATTTGAGTTGTGAAAATTCTTTTTTTTGGGGGGGTCTCTTTTTATTTATTTATTTTTTAAATCATTTTTATTGTGAAAATACTGTGCAGAGAGGTTACAATTACATGGGCAAGATAATGAGTACATTTCTTATCAAGCATTGTTGCCTCCTCCTTTGTTTCCCCTTCCCATCCCTTCCCATCCTCCCCCCTGCCCCGCCCCCCCCACCAAAGTTGTAAAGTTCGTTTTCAACATAACAACTTGTACTTCTCATTGTTGCAACGGGTCCACCTGTATCCTTATTTCCAGTCTAAATGTGACTCAAAAGAAGCACATTTTTCAGTGACTATACCCTTTTCAGTTCTCTAGAATGCCTCCAGATGGCATTAAAACTCTTTTCCCATTATATTTTGTAGCACAAACAAATGAAAAATTAGTAATATTTAAACTTTGAAGACTGTTCATACTCATTATGCAATCAGAAACTACAACAATCGAACTGTTCAGAACTTTTAAGGGAGTGCCTTGAAAGACAAACTCTACAACCAAACCTATTATATTTAAGAACCAGATCTTGGACAAAATGAAACACACAAAATTATACCCCAGATTGTGATTTCTAATGACTAGCATTTCAATGCTTAATAAGTAATAAGAACACCCAGTCCATAAACAGAAACTCTCACAAAGACTGTCCTAAAATAAGAGAGCAGATGTCACTCACTGAAAGTGACAAAAGCAGTGATTTTGAAAGGAAGGGTTATTGACCCTGTAAGGCCTAAGCAAAATCATTTGTTATAACTCAATAAATAACTGAAATATTGGTACATCAATTTGGTGTTCAATTAATCATTTCATCACACTTACGAAGTCTTTGAATGCTGAGAGGACAACGATAACACAGGGGTAGGAATATATGCTTCATTATTTAAAGATACCAACAAAATCTTGAGTTTCCAAAGACAACTACAATCATATTTTCACATAATTCAGAAGAAGACTGCAGATGCAGGCTTGTTAAATAATAGAGCTACTGCACTGATGTGCGGAAAGAACGTCCTCAGTATGTGTGAGAAGTTTGGCAAGTTTTGACAGTGCTCAGTCTCCAGCCAAAGTATAAAGGGCTCACATCATTTCTCTCCAAGTCCATACCTTCAAATCTCCTTACATTTCTACTTTAAAAAGAGGAACATTTACATTTTCATGGTTCCTTTCTCTCTACTACAGCATATTAAAAAATGCATCAATACCCAAAAGCATTTAAAAAGACATTATCATGAGAAAAGAGAACCCAGCTTCCTTCTATTGTGATTACTACTATTACAAGATAGTTGCACAGTTTCATTTTATAAGACTTATTAAAGAACAGACCTCTCCCAGAGAAATAAGAAAAAGACTTACGATGTATTTGATGTGCCATTGTCTGGACTCTCTGGCTCAGCTTCACCTTTTTCTTAAAAAGGAAGTAGAAAAAATATCAACATGAAAGTCTTGCAATCTTCAAGATTTAAGAGAGATTAAACAAATTTCTATGTTCCTATGCACAGTCTTTCAGAATGTGAAGCAGGAGGCTTTTAAAACATCTTTTATTGTCTGAGGACTAGCTTTGCAAAATTATTTTGTCTTTGCAATGTAATTAGCCTAGGCACAGATCTGTGAGTAGGTATTAAGAAGCTATTTGCAAACAACCAGAGATTTGGAATAGAGACCTTGCCAAGAGATGAATATCATGCAGATGGAATCAGTTTATTTCCCCTCCATTTTACAGAAAATTTAAGGGAATACACCTACTAGCATTTTACATACAAAGCACTCTGAACTTTTATCCCTCTGCTAACACAGGTCAAATGGGGCTAGGCTGAATAAGAACTTGGATGAGAGAATTTTATAGAACATCAAGGTTGTAGTCATGAAATCCTTAAGAATTATACCTCAACCCTGGGTAGCCTTTCCCAAGTTAAAACACAAGAAACCAAAAATCCTTCTTGGCCATCTGATCACATAGATAGTTATGTACATATGGCCATCTGAAATGATGCTAATCCAACTGAACTCCCAGGATAGGGAAATAAGTTGTGTGTGTGTGTGTGTGTGTGTGAGTGTGTCTGTGTGTGTGAGTGTGTCTGGTGTGTGTGTGTGTGTGTGTTTTAATGTACTGTGTGAACTTCTTTTTACTTTCAGTTCCCCCGTCCCAACTTTTTTTTTTTCCCCTGTCATCACTGTTTTTTTATTTTGGTACCCCGTATCTTGTATATACGTTTATCTGATTTGGGAAAGGGAAAGGAACTCACAAAATGGTTAGAAAAGGACAAAGGGTGAACTAATGCAGCAGTGATGTTCACAAGACACTATGTTGGAAATGAACTTTACAACTTGGGGAGGAGGGGAGTTTGAGGGAGGGAAAGTGGGAGAAAATGAGGGAGGGGTAACACTGTTCGATAAGAAATTGTTACTTATGTAGCTGTAACCCTTATGTATATCACTTTTACAATAAAATAAAACATTATTAAAAATAATATTGTGGGATGTGGTCACCAGGAACTTAATGGGTTTAGTTAGGTTAGCCTGTAAAGTAGTTTTATTTTTGGAGTTTTAGGGGCAATTTCTAATCCTAGACCAATTGTGGTATGGAACATGAGCTATCATTGGGTAAGAAGCCTCTTGTTTGGTTTGCTGGAAGCTGAGCATGGAAGAAGAATCAATCAAGCTATGGCTGCTGGTAGTTCTGCATGGGTAAGTGTTAGAACCAGGTTAAATTAAACAAAGAGTATTAATTAGACTAAGAAAAAATGAAATTTAACTGGGACAAAAAAATCCCAGGTAACCTGAGAAAGTAAGTACAGATCGTAGGAATGGAACACACTGAGGTCTGGCATTTACTGAAATTTGCAAAGTGAGTAAAAATAGGGCCAACCTTGAAGGACAGGATCTCCTTGTAGAGAAAAACTCCAGGAGAGTCATTAAAAGGAAAAAATCCAAAGATAAAATTATGAGTTAAACACCAGGTTACTGGAATTCGGTAAATAACAGTGAATCTTAGAAAGAGCCAGAAAACCTGGAAGGGGTTTGATTTTGGGGTATGATAAGTAAGAAATTTGTAATGTGATTTTTGCTTTGAGGACTTATTACTTTGCTTATAGAGACTGTAATTACTATTTCACTAACTTGCTTCTTTGATGGGAAGATTTGGGATAAGGACTCTGCCTTGTGACTTATGGTCTTGGTTACTGGAATGACTGGAATTATAATCGCCATTTTGTAATCACTAAATGCTATCTCGGCTTCTGTAACTTCTTTGCTGATCGTGAAACTACCACTGGCTACCTGTGAGTGGCTATTTGACTTTATTGAGCTATTTACTGAGCGATTTGACATTATTGCTGTTCTTCACTGTCTTGGTATAGTGAGGTGAAGCCACAGCAGCAATAAATACTCCTGGCTGAATTGGCCAAGTGTTGGGGTGTCTTGTTGGGAAATCGGGTACTACATTAAGAGTTGCAAAAAAAGGGGTATGCTAGTGGCATACTGTACTCTTTCAAGTAAGATCTGGTTATCTCCTAGGCTCTTTCAACCTTTTGCTCAGGTCCTCAGGCCTAAGCATTGTACTAAGCCCCATGTGTCAGCTGACAAAGTTAGCCTGCGATCACCTTGTCTCAGGAATGACCTTTTCCTCTATTAGACAATGAATATACCCTAAAAATGTTGTCTAAGCTGAGCTCAAAACAAGCTTCCTATTTTCTTTTTCCTATAGCAAACAGCTATGAGAAAAGCTAGGCAAGAGTTAGATAGGGTTCAAAAATCCAACTAGATATTTAAAATCTGGGTTGTGTGCACACCTGGTCCAAGGACAGAAATGTGAGAAATAGCCACTTAGCCAAAAGTTGATCATGTAGGAGAAAACCAATGTCTCAAAATGTTTGCTGATAATGTACTAACTGGTCAGGGTCCCAGATTATGGGAAATCAAGTTAAAGCAAAAGCAACAGATTAATAAACTTGTTCTAACACTTATACTTTATTATTATACTGGGTCAATGCTATGCTCATTTAGAAGCCACATGAAGCCTCATCAACTGGCTTCTGTGCTAGAAAAAAATTTTTTTTCCCATTGAACCACCATCATTCCTGATACAATTTCCAAAGAGAGTCATAAGGCTGCAGATAAAAGATACGACTCTCATATATTGATTTGTCTATCCCCCTTTGAATTTGGAGAAACCGTTTACTCTCCCTGGGTAGAGCTGCCAGCAATTATGCCTTGTACCATTATAATCAAGAATGTAACATAGCAGTCTCAGCTATAGCAAATAACAGTAAATATTCCAAACAATTTATGCCAGAAAAGAGAGAATCAGTAATATAAAGAAGAGGAGGAGGCAACAATGCTGGATAAGAAATGTACTCATTACCTTGCTCATGTAATTGTAACCCCTCTGTACAGTATTTTCACAATAAAAAACAATAACCCACAGGTGTAGAGGCCACAGGCTGGATTGCACATGGGAACTGGGGGCTACAGGAGTCATGGGCTGGCTTCAGTTCTGGACAAAGCTGCAGCTGATTATCTTTGCTTTTAGCAGCACTTATGTTGTGGCAACAGGGAAAACAGAATAGGTTCTGGTAAATAGGAAGGGTACCATGGGGCCAAATGGGACATTTAGGAACGGTGTTAGTGTGAGCATTCTTAGCAACTTCAGTGCTACAATGAATTAAGCTATTTGGGGAAAAGTGAGCTCTAGATAAAGCCAGGGAATACATTTTTTTTCCTCTCAGAAAGAAAAGAATGAAAACATTTCCCCCAACGTTTTGAAAATTTCGGTGATGCAATTTCTGAGGTTAATCTGAAATATTTAAGGACACAAGCCATAGAGAATTGTAGCGTCTTTATCAAGACCCAAGGGAAGATGATGAAGGTAAGCTAGAAAACTCTCAGTATGAAGTCTGGTTGGATACTCAGGAGATGCCTCCCTGCAGCCCACAGAGAGGACTGATTGGGGTCAGCTAGTTGATCTCATGTGCCTTCTTAATGGATACTACCCCTCAGATGCTTTGGGAGGGAACTTATACTGGTCATTAACAAGCTGGACATAAGAGACTTGCTTAGGGACAGTGCAGCTATTGTGCATGTGGAAAAACAATTACAGAGTAGCAGGATTGAGCCACCAAGAAGGCTAGATATATGTATTAATGCATATACAACCCTGTGTATGTATGTGTATGTTACATGCATTTGAGCATGTTACATGTTTTTTCAGTTGACACTCTTCTTTTCTGATGATGTCACTAATATAGAACTATATGCTACAGGAGAAGAGGTTAGGGTTGGGAATGTAGTTCAGTGGTAGATTGTATACTTAGCATGTGTGAGGCCATGGGTTTAATTCCCTTTCTCCAAACCCTATCCTTTTGTTCTTAATTCTAAATAGCTATAGATTTCTTCTTCTATTGGCAATATCTAAAATATTTAAATTCTGTTCAGGAACTATTAATGAGTTATCCTCATAAATATTAATTTAGATAATTTAATCTTTGGACCTGTCTATAGGTCAATTACATATATTACAAACCAATGACCAGCATTTGCAGAATCATAATTTAAATATTAGATATTAAAAGACAAAGTATCATGGGTGGATCTATGCAGAAGGAAATGTACTAAAGCTAAATGAAAGCAAATATTCCTGACATTTATGTCCAATGAGCTCTCATTCTTTTTATTCCTTTATGTTAAAGGTTAGTTTTTTGTCTAAGTAAATACTAGAACTTTTCTAAAAGATTTTTATAGTGTTTATTATCTATCTATCTATCTATCTATCTATCTATCTATCTATCTATCTATCTATCTATCTATATCTAGAATCTATCTATCTATCTATCTATCTATCTATCTATCTATCTATCTATCTATCTATCTATATCTAGAATCTTATCTATCTATCTATCTATCTATCTATCTATCTATCTATCTATCTATCTATCTATCTTTTTATCCATTATCTGTCTGCTTTTGTGCTGTTATCAGGACTTGTTCTTGCAGATTAATTTGGAGCGAATTTGTATCTTTACAATAGTGAATCTGATTATCATACCTTCTATTTATTTAGGTCTTCTTTAATATGTTTTGATAATTTGTAATTTTCTTTATTGAAGTAGTACCTAATTTGACCAGGCTTGTGATTTAGTAAGTTATATTTCTCAGCCTAGCATTAGTTAACATTTTTAAATTGTGTTGTCCATTTGTTCATAAAGAAAAGTGCAACTGGTCATGTGTACATCAAAATTGTATCTTTAGTTCTAGTAATTTATCCGTATGTTGTTTGAGTTTTCTACAACTGTATAATTTGAAATGAGATTTTTTTCCATTCTCACACATACTTATATAAATATTTGTTACCTTGATCAAAGGTTTTCTAGCTGAGCCCATGTCTTAATCTAATTGTTAGGAGCATGCTAT